TTAAATTATTTTTAAATAAATAATCATTATGAAATTATTGTTAAATAATTATTAAAATTTTAATCAAAATTATCTTGTTTTGACAAACTATTTTTTAACTTTACAATTTCTCTTTATGATCAAAATTGTCTGAATTTAATAATTATAAATAATAATAATAAAATAAAAATAATTTCCATATAAATAATTAAAATTTTCTCTCTTAATAATGAATTATTTTTTTAAGTTATAGAAATTATTTTTAAATAATTAAAACTATCTTGATAAAATCTAAAACATTTTATCTGATAAAATTTTAAATAAACAATTTATTTTAAATTTTCCTGAAAATATCAAAATTTTCTTTAACCAATCCAAAATATTATTTTACTAAATTTTTATTTCATTCATAAAATATATATTTTTAAATATATCTTTTATTTAGGAATTTTTCCACATATATATATATATATATATATATATATATATATATATATATATATATATATAGAACAAATTTAAAACTAGCTGCAAGTGGAATTCTGTCTTAAGGCAATTAAGGCATCGTGCCTTAAGGCAAATTGCTGGAACTTCCCGTACCAAAAATTATTTTTTTTAAAAACGATTAACATTTTTGAAAAAAATTTACTTCGAAATAAAAAGATTTTTGAGAAACTATAAATTGGACAAAAAATTACTTTTTTTTGAAAAAAAATTTTTTTTTTTTAATTTTTTTTTTTTTATTTTTTTTAAAAAATGTTTTCTTTATTTTGACATATTTTGGAAGATCTGAACTTTTTTTCAAAGCAATCGTACTGCTTTAATTGCATAGAGACAAAATATAAAGCGCGTAAGCGCGGCGTCGCTGTCTAACGCGTAAACATTGATACGGAACCCATAGGAGAATAAACAAAATTTATACTTATTGTTAAAGTATCTATAAAATATCTGAAAATTTGATGTGCATATGTCTAATGATCATTTTTGACCGCCAAATGGCATTTTTTTTTACTTTTTTTGTTAGATCTCCGAAACCGCTAGACCTGCCTTTATGAAAATTTGATCAATTATTTATCTTGTCAATACAAGTAAAATGTTTTTTGAATTATTATAATAGGACGCTCCGTTCTCTTAAAAACTGAGTTACCGTTTTCAGCACTTTTTGCCCCGTATCTCCGGAACGGCTAGACCTACCTTCGCCAAAAACTAATCAGCACGTCTCCTTATCGATACGAATCGAATGATTTTTGAATTATTCAAATCGGTTGATCCGTGTTTCCGAAATCGTCGACGAAAATTTGTATCCGCACATACATACACACACGCACACACACACACACACACACTCACACACACATACATCCATTTTTTCTAAGGTATGCCAAGATGTTCAGAAACCTCTGAAACGTAAAGATATATAAAAATTTTCATTTTCGATTTTTTTGCGATTACTATAACTTACCCTACGGGAAGTTAATTATTAATTATCATTTACCACATTTACAAAAACAACATTTAATTTACAACATAATTTATTATTTTTTCTCAAACTTCAACACTTTTTTGACACCCAAAGAAGGAACAGTGTCAACTTTCCTCCTCAAATCATTTACATCACAACAATAAGTGAAACCTTTGTCCAAATTTTCGAAACCATCGTGGATCCAATTATTATCCTCGCAAATATTCTTGCACAAATAATCAGGCTTGGTTTCTTCATAAGGATTATTCAAAGTTACCAAAGCAATGCCTTCTTGACGCCTTTTGTTATAGACGACTTTCCACAAATATTTGGGAACTGAAATTTTTTGGTTTTCTGTCAAAAATAGGGGTTGGTGGTTATTGTTTTGGTCTGGCAAGGATAAAATGTCGTAAGTTCCTGTGTAGACTTCGAAATCGTCTTGACGAGATACAGATAACTGTCTTACCTAAAAAAAAGATTCATATTACCATTCATATTATTTTTATTATTATTTGCTTATATTTTATATCAAATCATATTACGGATATTATCTTCATGTAAATTTTATCCTTTGCACTTTTATTTATTTATTTAAATTTAAGTAATTATTTATCAATATTACTAGATGTTAATAATTTAAGAGTTGTAATAATTCTTGAAATTAAATATATATATATATATATATATATATATATATATATTTATTTAATAATTTCTATCTGTTCTTTCAATCTAGAGTCCACTGAAGATGACACAAAACAATGTGTCGAAACGTATGGAAAAAATAAAAATGTTTTAAAGTCATAAAAACTTTTTAATTGATGTATTGCCCTGAAAACTGTATATCATATATATATATATATATATATATATATATATATATATATATATATATATATATATAATATATTACCAAACAGATTTATCACTTGTTGGTGGTTTGCACTATGGTTTATACAAAAACCGACATTTCAGAAAACCGGTTTTCAAAATTTAATTTTACTAAAAAACCGCTTTTCGAATTTTATATAGAAAATTAATTTTTGCTCGAACATTCTGTAATTTATCCGCAAATTTAGTGTAATTTAGAGCAGTATTTGACTGAATTTATTTATTGTTCAATTTTATAGATAGTAAACAGAATTATTTTAATTTTAATTAGTAGAACTAAAAAATAATAGTTTATCTTGATTAAATAAAAATGGCAAAATATTTTATATATTTGTACTTATTAGATTTTAAATTGGATATGAAAGAATTCTCAATTATTATTAGTATAATATTTTTATTTTTATTTTGGTCCTAATTTAGTTAAAAAAAATTGCTTCCCAGAGAGGCTGTGATATAGAATCTCATATAAATTGTCAAATTTAATCCAAAATGGAAAGACTCGACGGTTTATTATATGAAAATTAAGGACCAACTATTTCAATTGACCACACGCACAGTTAAAACATCAAAACTAATTTACATATCATTGTGCGTGAATAATTATTACTTAAGTATTTTAATTTCATGTTTAGGTAGTATTTTTTATTATAAATATTAGATTTAGAAATGGAGAATGGTGCTAAAATTTAGTTCCTTTGAATTTGAATGTGTAATTTTACTGTTTCATTATAAAGTATATAATGGTAAATTGCATACAAATGTTTTATACAAAAGTTTTACACACTTTTTAATGAGTACACGTAGTTTGTTAGTTAGTTGTGATATTGTGACACAAACGACAGAAATTGTTTACCTATCTACTTATCTTTTATATAGTACTAATAATTTAGAAAATTTAATTCAGATGGATTTTATTCATTCCTCTCTTATTATTATAACATAAGTTTTGGTTTATTTTAAATTCTAGTTGTATTTTAACATTAAAATGATAAATGTTTTTGCATCTTTTTATATATACATAATTATTGAATAGTAGAAGATTTTGCACTGACAAAATTTATACAAATTGTAATAAAATAAAAGAATTGACTTTAAAAAAAAAATAACTTTGAAGATAATTATTCGTTATTCATGCATCATTTTCACATATAAGAATGAAAATATTTTTAAATAAAAAAAATTTATTAAATTTAAAAAAAAAATAGATGTTGATAAATACTTGTTAATATCAATTTTAGTTTTAAAAACAATTAAGCTAAACTCGGGTATTGCCTGTTCCGAGCATTTTTAATTAATTCTAAACATTCTAATTGTTTTTTGTTTAATAAAATATGATTTTGAAAAAAACGGTTTTAAAAACCGGTTTTTTGACGAAAATTATGGAATTTGAAACCGGTTTTTTAGTGAAAAAAGTCGGTTTTATAAATAAAATATTCATAATTTTGAAAAGGAGACCTGACGAAAAATTAATTTTTGAGGTTGATTTTGAGGTCTGACAGAAAATTTATTTTTAACCAAATTTACTATAATATGAAAGGATTCAAAACTTTATTTTATATTGAATGATGGCTAGGATTTTAGTCGAAACGTATGGATGACCAATAAAACATTCATAATTTTGAAAAAGATATTTATGAAAAAAACAATATTTTAACCAGAACAGTTGTTAAAAAATTTACAATAATATAGAAGGAAATAAAACTATTTTTCATTAAATGGTGGCTGGGATGTTAGCCGAAACGTATGGAAATCACATAAAACATTCATAATTTGAAACAAAAAAGAGACCAGACAGAAATTTTTTTAACCAAAATAGTTGCCAACAATTTGACTATAATATAAATGATTATCAAACTTTATTTTTTTATTCAATGATGGCTGGGATGTTAGCCGAAACGTATGGAAATTTCATAAAACATTCATAATTTGAAACAAAAAAGAGACCAGACAGAATTTTTTTTAACCAAAATAGTTGCCAACAATTTGACTATAATATAAATGATTATCAAACTTTATTTTTTTATTCAATGATGGCTGGGATGTTAGCCGAAACGTATGGAAATTTCATAAAACATTCATAATTTGAAACAAAAAAGAGACCAGACAGAATTTTTTTTAACCAAAATAGTTGCCAACAATTTCACTATAATATAAATGATTATCAAACTTTATTTTTTTATTTAATGATGGCTGGGATATTAGTCAAAACGTATGGAAATCACATAAAACATTCATAATTTGAAAAAAAGACCAGACAGAATTTTTTTGAACCAAAATAGTTGCCAACAATTTGACTATAATATAAATGATTATCAAACTTTATTTTTTTATTTAGACATTCATATCTGAAAAAAGAGACCTGACAGAAAATTAATGTTTTAAAGAAAATAGTTACCAACAAATTTACTATATTATACAGATTTATCAAACTTAATTTTCAATTGAATGATGGCTAGGATGTTAGCCGAAACGTAAAAAACAATAATTTAAAAAAATTAAGATTCAATGAAAAACGATTTTTTTAACCAAAATAGTTATCAACAAATTTTCAATATTATAAAAAATTTAAAACTTTATTTTTAACTTCCCGAAGGAGAAGTTTATGTTTTCATCAAAAAATCCGAATCGCTAATTTTATGTTTTCTCGACGTTTCAAGCCATTCTGAATCGAATGAGACCAACATTTGGAAAAAGTATGTGTGTGTGTGTGTATGTGAACAGATTTTTTGCCGTAAATCGACGTTTTCTCCAAAACGGTTAGACCGATTTCAAAAATTTAAAAGCCATTCGATGTATCTCGATGAGGACTATCGTCTCTGAGTTTTGTGCGGCGATCGACCGGGCCGTTTCTTTGTAAATTGCACAAAAGTGAAAAATTTTTTGTCCACGTTTTAGCCCGCAATTCTGAATCGATTCTGAAAATTTAAAAACCGTTCGATAGATATTGGTTGGGAATCGTGCTGATTAGTTTTTGGTAAAGATCGGCCGGGCCGTTTTCTTGTAATAAAGTTTAAAAAAAAAAAATTTCGACGATTTTTATGATTATTTTTTTGACGATAGATACCATAGTTTTCTAGGTCATACTAAAATATTACGGCCCTACGACAACTGGTTCAGCTTTAAAAATTCGTCAAAGTTTGCAAAAATCAGTATGTTTTTTTTGGCATTTGTCAAAATTAGACTTTTGATCGACGTTGTCTCAAAAACGCCTGAACCGATTTTAGAAATTTAAAAGCCATTTGATGTATTTCGGTAAGGACTATCGTTTGTCAGTTTTGTGCAACGATCTGCCAAGCCGTTTCTTTGTAATTTGAAAAAAAGTGTTAAACTTTTCGTCCACATTTAAGCTCATCCTACCGAACCGATTTTAAAAAATCAAAAATTGTTCGAAAGATATTAGTTGGGAATGGTACTGATTAATTTTAGGTAAAAATCTACCGAGCCGTTTTCTTGTAATTAACTGTTGAAAAAAAATTAAGCTGATTTTCATGGAAATTTTTTTGGCGATATATATCATGGTCTTATAGAACTTACTTTAATATTACGGCCTCACGACAAGTAGTTTAATTTTAAAAATTCGTCAAAGTTTGCTAAAATTATTATCGTTTTTTTTTAAAGTAGGATTAATGAAGTATATTATTTACACATTTTTGTTGATTAAGTCAATTTTTTACACATTTCGGAAAGTTCATGTAACTTGCCTCAAGGCTAAATACCAAACCAACTAGTTTATTAAATGATGGCTGGGATGTTAACCGAATCGTATGAAAACCAGATAAAATATTCATAATTTTTTAAAGTATTTAAAATCTGATATAAGCCTGATATAATAATTTTGAGTTTTTTGTTCTTTAATTTGTGGCTTCTAGGTTTTAAAACTCTTTTTTTTAAGTTTGAGTAGAGGAAGTTACTTCTTCAAGAAGAAGTCACACTGATTTAAACTAATATATACACTGGTATAAAAATCTAAATTAATATATACAAAACCTTTCTGGGAACCATTGCAGACTGATAAAATATCAAATGCTATTGAAACGATATGATTAAAAGAATCAGAACGCTTTCATCTATCTTTTATATTTGGCTATATTTGTCATTTTCGATTTATACAGTGAAAACCGACTTTTTTCACTAAAAAACCGGTTTTTGGATTCTATCATTTTTGTCAAAAAGCCGGTTAGTGTCAACTTACCATTGTTTCGACTTTCAACCAGTTGCCGGCGTTGACGACTTGCCATTGTGGGCAAACGTTGATGTAGAAGTATGTTGCAAATTGGTGAGGCACCAAAGAAAAGTCTCCATCAGGTGCCAAGTGCCCTCGTGCCAGAATTTTATTTTTGTCCAACTCTATAAACTTTTTGGCTTGGCGTTTTCCGAGAAGTTTGCTGAACATCTCGAGTTGCTCGTTGCCTTTGTATGCGACTGCTGGTGAAACACCAGGAGCTGATCCTGCTGACTTGAAGGATGGACGATTTGGCTCAATCTGCTTAACTGGATAAGATAAAAGAATCATTAGTTCCCTTGAAAAAGCACTTAAATTTTTTAAGTAAAACTTCTTTAGGCGCGACATGGGTGCAACGGAAATTGTTACGCCAACGTGAAGTGAGAGTCATTCGCTCTTGATGATATGATTTCTATACGGGTCGATTCTGATTGGTCATCGGAAGAATATTTTATCCCGTCCCCCATAAAAAATTGCAGTGCAAATAATGAAAAACCCATGGGGCGCAAACTTCTAACAAATGTCAGTTTAGTACGCAGTCATACGTGCGTACGTCACCGAAAGCATGAACCATATTGTTCAAATTTCCGATATTATGTCAAAACTTTTTAAGGTTAAATATATAGTAGTATAAATTGTGAAATAATAAAAATGTCAGGATCGGAAGAATGTTTTATTCCGTCCCCCATAAATGATTAATTGTAGTGCAAATGAGCGCAAATAAAGCATGAAACTAAGGAAAAAACTGCGCTACGTAAGAAATGTAAGTTTATTGAAGTAATTTGTATTATTCGAGTTTTTCGAGGTTACTATATACCTTCGAGGTTATTACTAAAATGGAAAATATTTTTATAAAAATATTTAAATATTTGAACAAACAAGCAGTCAATAATGAAGTTCTACAAACACAATTACATGAGTGAAATTGTGGGAACAATATTTCTTCATTGAAAATTTAACGTAACTTTACATGTTCCTTCTTTATGATGGCTATGGAGACTAATTTTAATTTATTATAACAGTAATTATAAATGTTCGTGCAGGTACAAAGCCTCTTACAAACTCTGAAAGATCAAGATTACATCGTCAAACAAAACATCTGCAGGAAAATAATTGATTACTGCCAATTTATTAGAAAATCTTGAGATAGGTATCAATTTAGATATTAATGTCAACACGATTGACGTAAGTAAGAATCTTTTTTCGCTTCAACTATTCACATTTAAACATATTATTCTGTTATCTTTTTAGATTAAAGTACTACTGTTACTTTTTCTGATACAACTACATCAAGTCAATTGCAAATTGATGATTCTGTATATAATGTGACAAGAACTGATCTTTTGCAAGAGTCAAATAAAGTATTTCAACTTCCATATGAAAAATTCCATTTGTTTAGGAATGCACTAAAATTGTTTGAAAAACAATTTACAAATGATAGCTTTGGCTATGTATGCTTTGTGTTTGACAGACTTTGGTTTCAAAGTGACTTAAAAATATTAAAAGATGCTCAAAAACAAATTCTTATTAATGGTTTTCTGATTCAAATAATCAGGTTAGATGTCAAACTTGTCGAAAGGCATTAAATTTGGGTAAAATTCCCATTTTGTGTAAATTTAACGAGTTTGTATTTCCACCTATACTAAATTATCTACCTAAACTAGATACTGTATCTGAAAGATTAATTTCACCTAGGTTGTGTTTCATGCAAATTAGACGATTTGGAATATTAGGACAAATTATAAATGTGCCTGTTGACATTAATAATATGGTTAATTTATTACCTCGTAATATTGATGATGATCATTGCATTAACGTTCACATAAAAAAGCAAATGATTCATAGATCACGCTATGTGCAGGGCTTGATAAATAAAACAAATATAAAAGTATGGCTTCAATTTTTTAGACAAGACAGATATTACAGCTGTTCAAGGAATGAGATTATATCGTAAAAAAATACGAACAGTAAATGAATGTATGATAATTTTAATTACATGGAGTTCTTCAAACACAATTATTACATGATGACTGAAGTTACGAAAACAATGTTTGTTTAGGCGTTGTTTAACATAATCCACTGCGTGAACGAATATTATAGAACTTATTAATCAGCAATTACTTTAAACTGATCATGTCATATTTCAAGTATGATTTTGATAACATCATTGTTCGTAAATATTATACATATTTTTAATGCAATCATGAATATATATGTTATAATTTATTATTATATAAATGTGTATAGTGATTGACGACACTAATAAATGTGTGCATCACGAGTGTTACCATATTACTAATAAACATTATTCAAAATGGTTATATGATGTATTTATTTTTACTTAACTTAAATTTGCTACTTTGTACAGAAGCAAATATGTTTTACTTCAATCTTGCGCACTTTTTTTTTACTTACATCCGATGCTTTTCCCTGCCAACTTGTGGTGCGAGTAGACGGCATCACCAGTACTCTGGTTGTAACAAACTTTGTAAAGTTCTACAAAACTGCCATTTCTCAAATCAAAACCCACAATTGACCATGTACCTTTACCACCTGCACAAGTTTGTCTTGTTGTCTGCACATCACCAGTAACCGAAGTTTTGCAAGTTACATCACCTGGTGCAAAAGTTTGGCCAGAGTACCTTAATTTTGCACCAGAACAAGACGCCTGGGAAATCTGATCTAAAAAGGACAAATGGTTCTGGTTTTAAGACAAAAAATTACTTAAGGTTTATAATGCACTTGGTTTCTGGTGTTTTTATTTATTACCTTCGGTGGTTGTGAGGATATTAGTGCCTCCAGGACATGCCAAAGTGATTTTGCCAGTAAAGTTTAGTGTCGGAGCAGTTTGTCGCCAGATTTTTCCGCCTTGAAGAAATACTGGTTGTTTGTAGGTGAAGTCTTTGAGTTGTATGCTGCATTTTGCGAATGGTTGAATGTCTTCGGAGATGCTAGAGATTTGGTTGCTGGTGTGGTTATTGAAGATGTTGAAGTTGGATAGGAAGTCTGTTAGGAATCCTGCAAAAATTAGACTTTTTAATATTTTGGAAGCAAAGCGCAAAAAATCTTTTATTTCTAAGAATCTGAAAGGAATCCTGAAAAAATTTTAGAATGATAAATTCTGTGGAAGCATTAAACTTCCAGAGAAAATCTGTTAGTTGTTCCTAGAAAACAAAAGAGAATCTTGAAACAAAATTAGAATAAATAATTTTAGGGAAGCAATGAACCTGGATAGACAGAAAGTCTGTTATTAATTCCTAGAAAATAGAAAAGAGTTCTGGTTAAAATTTAGAATGATTAATTTTGCGAAGGCAATAAAACTGAACAGAAAATCGTTGATACTTTCTACAAAACACAAAAGGAATCCAGGAGCATAACTAGAATGATAAATTTTGTGAATGAACTGGGGCAACAAATCTAGTAATAATTGCTAGAAAACAAAAAGGAATTCAGGAAAAATATTTAGAATGATCAATATTGTGGTAGCAATAAATCTAGACAGAAAATCTGGTAGTAATTTCTGTAAAAAAAAAAACAGAAAAAATCCAAGAAATAAATTACAATCATCAATTTTGTGAAAACAAAGAACCTGAACAGAAAATTTGCTAATAATATCTATAAAACAGAAAGATGTCCTCGAAACAAATTTAACACAATTGATTTTGTGAATGAACCTGGATGGACAGAAAATCTGTTAGTTACTAGAAAAACAGAAAAGAATTCAGGAAACAGTTTAGAATGATTTTGTGGAAGCAATACACATAGATGAATAGAACATCTGTTGAAAATTCCTAGGAAACAGAAAGAAATGCAGGAAAAATTCAAGATTGATTAATTTTGTGAATGAACTTGGACAAAAAATCTAGTTATAATTGCTAGAAAACAAAAAAGAATTTTGAAATAAAAATTAGGATTATCAATTTTGTAGAAGCAATGAATCTTGGATGAACAGTAAATCTGTTAATAAATATAAAAACAGAAGGAAATCCAGTAAAGAAATTAAAAAGATCCATTTTGTGGAAGTAATAAACTTAAACAGAAAATGTGTTTCTAGAAAACAGAAAGGAATCCAGGAAAGAAATTAAAAAGATCAATTTTGTGGCAATGACCCAGAAGGGACAGAAAATTTGTTAATAATCCAGAAAACAGAAAGCATCCAAGAAAAAGATTAGTATGATCAATTTTGTAAGAGCAATAAATCTGGACAGAAAATTTTTTAGTACTTTCTAGAAAACAAAAAAGGATCCTGGGAAAAAAATAGAATCATTAATTTTGTGGACTGGATCAAGCACTGGACAAATAATCTGGTAATGATTTTTTAAAAGAAAGAATTAAATCTTGTAAAAAATTTAGAATGATTAATTTTATGGAAGCAATAACCTAGACAGCTAGATAGAAAATCTGTTAATAATTTCAAGAAAAAACAGGAAAGGTTCTAAGAAATAAAAATAGAATAATTAATTTTGTGGAAGCAATAAACTTGGACAGAAAATGTCTTAATAATTTTTAGAAAACAAAAAAAGTTCAGGAAAAAGCTTTAGGAAACAAAAAAAAGGAAAAATAGGGAGGAATCCTGGAAAAAATTTAGAATGTACAATTTTGTGAATGCAATAAATTTGGGCAGAAAATCTGTTAATAATTTCTAGAAAAACAAAAAAGAATCTTGGAAAAAATATAGAATAATCAGTTTTGTGGAAGCAATGAACTAAGGTTGAAAATCTGTTAATATATCCTAAAAAAACAGAAAGATATCTGGGAAAAAATTTAGAATGATCAATTTTGAGAAAGCAAGTGATCTGGTTTAAAATTTACTATGAATCGAGGAAAAAAGAATTAGAATAATTTGAATTTGAAATTTGTGGCAACAAAAAAGAAATTGTATGGAATTTAAAAAATAAGTTGCAGTAACAAAGTTTGAAAAAAAATTGATTTGCAAAAAAAAGTGTATTTTTGTATAAACATTTAAAAAAAGTCTTGAATTAACAATGTTCTTGTGTACAAATAAACTACTTACTACAATTATATATATATATATATATAATTTTTTCCTACAATTAAATATTTTCTACCTAAAATATCCTATTCAATTCAATTGAACATAATCTGCCAAAACCATTTGAGATTTGACGTATGAGCCACACAAACAAATTTGAACTCAAAATGTAAAGCTGTTGAAATAAATTCTCACCTTCCCCACATTTTCTAGATCAGCAAAAATATTTCAAGACTAAACGTGGCCAAATCGGTTCAGCCGTTTTCAAATTTTAGCATACTTAATGTAATATCGAGCTTTATTTTTATATATACAATTTAAAATAAAAATGTAAAGTTTTCACGCGATTTTGAACTAAACTCTCACCTTCCCCACAACCTCTAAATCACCCCAAACAATCCAAAGACTAAAAGTGGCCAAATCGGTTCAGCCGCTTTCGAATTTTAGCATACCTAACATAATATCGAGCTCCATTATATATATATATATATATATATATATATATATATATATATATATATATATATCCATTACCCAGGTGTTTTCAACTTTGTTCGTAACTTTGGAGGCGTTTGCCGATAAAATGGTGGAAGGCATTTAATAAACTGCTCCACGTTTTGCTCATTGCTCTCGGATTCTTATGAGAATCTCATGGGAATCCGCGATATTTGTCTTTGGCGTCCTGATATTAAAGTTTGTTCGCAAAGTGTACTTACTCCACGTCCAATCTTGATTCTTAACTGTTTCGCAAAGTAATAAGTAATATATATGTATGTATATATGTATATATATATATATATATACTAGCTGACCCGGCAAACGTTGTTTTGCTGAGTTAAGGTATATTCTAAACAATTTCTAGAAAATCAAAAATATTAATACTTTAAGTGTATAAGGATTAAGTGTTGTTTGAATACTATATACAATGAGGTATTATCAAAACAATAAATCCCATCAGTTTGACTATATTTTATCAATACAATCAAACTGCAAGTCTTATACACTCTTTATAGAAAACATGGTATCTGGAATGCAATCCAAAGCAAAAACCTAACTAAAATCTAAATAAAAATCTTTTAAAATCTACCAAAAACTCTATAATATATAATATAAAAATCTGGCTAAGTTAGATGCAAGTTAGAATCTAGTAACAATATTTTTTAGAATTTAATTTTAGATTTCCATTATAATCAAGCTATAATCTAATAATGATCCAGATTCAGATCTAATAAGAATCGAAGAAAAAATCTGTTAAAAATTCAGTAAGATTCAAAGTGCTTATAAGAATCTAGCTCAAATTTAAAAAAAATCGTAAGAATGAAAACTCTACTTACAACCAAACATTAAATATATGAAATAAAGACAGGACTCTACTGACAAGCAAATTATAGAGCTATCTAGAAGATGAAGATAGGACTCTACTCACAAGCAAATTAAAAAACCATCTGGATTCTAGAAGATAAAGATAAGACTCTACTGACAACGCATTTAAAGAGCCATCTAGAAGATAAATATGGGACTCTACTGACAAGCAACTTAAAGAGCTATCTAAAATATTAAAATAGGACTCTACTGACAAGTAAATTAAAGAGCTATCTAAAAGATAAAGATAGGACTCTACTGACAAGCAAATTAAGGAACTAGCTAAAAGATGAATATAGGATTCTATTGACAAGAAAATTGAAGAGCCTTTTACAAAATAAAAATATGACTCTACTGACAAGTAAATTAAAGAGCAACCTAATAGATAAAACAACTTTACCGGCGATATTTTATTGCATAATCTCGTACAAGTTTTTTCATTTGTTTTAGTACTATCTTATAATAATTGAAGTATTTTTTTTATTTAAGCAATTTAAAAAACATAATAGTGTCTTGAAAAAATATTATGTACATGACACGATCTGCAAGTTTAAATTAGTAGTTAGTTTAAAAATTTTGATTTTTAATTTCCATATTTTTGAACGTGACATTCAAAGAAAATCAAATAAACCATCCATATTAATCGAAGATAAAAATTCTTAAGAATGAATAAAATTCATAAATCTTAAATTAAATAAGAAAACAATTTAAATTCTACTTAATGCTCAAAACTTCCAATTATAAAATTATTTTTTTGGAAAGAATCTTACAATTGAAATAAAATCTAATACAAAATTAGCTTAAAATAAAAACAAATTCATCGTGAAAAATGTGAAAAAATGGAACTAAATATAAAAAAATTCCAGTTAGGAAATTAAAACGTTTGACATTGACGTATTAGTCACCGTCCATTGTTTTATTTAAATTACGCTTTTACAAAAAATTTCAAATTAAAAATGTAAAGTTTTTTCGCGATTTTGAAATAATGTCTCACCTTTCCGACAACCTACTGATTAGCACGAATTTTTCAAGACTAAAAGTGGCCAAACCGGTTCAGCCGTTTTTAAGTTTTAGCATACCTAACATAATATCGAGCTTCATTTCCATATTTAAGATATATATATATATATATATATATATATATATATATATCACGATGTTTGACCGCAATGTACTCCTAAACTACTGAACCGATTTTAAATTTGTTTTGCTCAATGTGTTCATTTACATCCAACTTAGGTTATAGGCTATATTAAAAATCTAAGTTCAAATTAGAACTAGAAATTTTTAAAAAATTTTAATAAATTTGACAGTTAAGAAGTTTGAGAAGTATAAATTGCCAATGTTTCCAGACACTCCTAATTTACATTTTACAAAAAAATATCCTTCAGATATTTCAAGCCACAATTTATAGTCTTAATATTACATTAACAATAAACCTGAAATTAATTTGATAGTCTAAAAATCAAATGTTTGTTCAAATAAATCGATCTTAGTACTAAAACTGTTTTACTGAATATATAATAATATTTATTCTTTATAATTTTCCATAAAAATTGCTTTTCCAAAAGCGATTTTTCATCGTTTTTTCTCGATTTTCTGTCTTCGCCTTTTGCATAAAGACGTCACTTTTGATTAATTACATAAAAAGAGTTTTTTGCAGACATTAGGGAAATCGATGAGGTTATAAATTACGTCAATCGAAGGCTTTTGAAAGAATTTTAACGAATATTTATGGGAGAGAAGATGCTCTGAATATTTACGAAGGAAATATGAAATATTAACAAAATTTGAATTGGCTAAATCCGAAATTATTATTAATATTATATAATTATATGTATGTAAGGTATCCTGTTATATTTAAAAGTTTATGCCAAACGATTCAGAATGACTTGAAGCATAAGGAAAAGTTTTAAATTTTAAAATTTAAAATGACTTGAAACGTATGGGAAATTTTTAATTAATCCAAAATTGTTTATTAACTTACTATTAAGGAAATTTGTTAGTAATCATTTCTATTACCAGATGCGCTCACTCTTTAATTATTTTGATCGATTTTTTTATGATAAAAATAATCAAAATGTGTATCAATTATAAACATTATTTTGATGTTTAAGTTTTATGCCAACGACTCAGAATGACTTGAAACATAAGGAAGTTTCAATTATTCCAAAATTGTATTTTTTATAATTAACTTATTATTAAGGAAATTAGTTAGTAATTATTTCTATTACCGGGTGTGCTCAACCTTTATTTTTATTGGTTCAAAGTATATTGTTGATGTCATTTCATATTTGTCAATGTGCACTTGACACTATTTCAAGTATGATCAATTCTAAAGGTCAATTGATGATGTTATTGATGGTGTTATTGTTCTTGAAGTGGTCAATTATGTATCTAAAGCCTCGTGTCGACTATAGAATAAATATATAAATGTTTAGTATTTTCTTCATTAATTTATTTAAAGTACTGAAAGTTTTTTATGCCAAAGTTTGTGGGTCTGGAAATTTGCCTACCCTAAAACTCGAAGTATTACAATTGTTCTATTTCAAAATTTTGAATAACAAAAATTGTTTATTTCAAAATTTGGTTTGTCATACCAAAATTTTAAATTACAAAAATGTCCAAATCAAAATTTGGTGTTCAAAATTTTCTAATTTCTAGAATTGTCTATCCTAAAAGTAAAAGATCAAAGAAGTGGCTATCCCAAAATTTTAAATTCTAAAATTCGCCTAAAACAAATTTTGAGGTACAAAATATGCCTAAATCAAAATTTGATGTACTAAAAATTGCTTATACCAAAATTTTTAATTTTTTAAAATTGCCTATGCCAAAAGTAGAAAACCAAAATATAAGCTACCTCAAAATTTTAAATTCTAAAAATTCCCTATCCCAAATTTTGAGGTACAAAAATGCCTAAATCACATTTGATGTCCAAAAATTTGGTCACACCAAAATTTGCGATCCATTGCCTTTCTCAAATTTTTAGTTCCGAAGAAATTCTCAAAGTATTAAGCAACAATTGATACTTTTTATTTGTTATAATTTATTATTGTTAATCAAGACTTTAATTTCTTATTTGCAAAATTGATATGTGCAAAAAAAAATAATACTAAAAAAATACAATAAATTGAATATGAAATGAAAAAAGTTAAAATAACACATGATACATGGGTATTTATGTATATATTTTTTCTATAAATTTATATTAACTTTTGAATTACTTTTGGAATGCCCAAAATTTATCAAAAATTTCGTATTCCAAAATTTATAAATCCTGAAAATTTTCTATTTTAAAGTTTGTTGATTGTCCAATTTTAACATTTGGAATAACAAAAAATGTTTATTCTAAAATTTGATGGCCAAAAAATATCTCAAAATTTTTGATTTATAAAAATTACCTATCCCAAAAGTATAGAAGGCCAACGAATTGGCTATCCCAAAAAAGTACAAAAATGCCTATATCAAAATTGGAAGTCCAAAAAATTTACCAAACCAAAACTAAATTTGACATCCAAAAAATATGTCACACCAAAAATTTGAGACTCAAAAAATTGTCTATTCCGAAAGTCAAAGACCAAAAAATTGGCTATGCCAAAATTTGAAGTAGAAAAAATGTCTAAAACTAAATTTGATATCCAAAAAATTGGTGACACGAAAAATTTGATTACTAAAAACTTGGCTATCCCAAAATTTAAAGTAGAAAAAATGTCTAAAACAAAATTTGATCCGAAAAATTAACTACAATTTGAGATAGACAATTTTTGAAGTTTAAAATTTTGGGATAGCCAATTTTTTGGTTTTTTACTTTTGAGATAGGCAATTTTTAGCAATTAGAAATTTTCGAATAAACATTTTTACTTCTTCAAAATTTTGAAACAGGATAATTAAAAGATATTTACTTTTTGGATTAAGCAATTTTTCAGACTAACAAACTTTGGGATTATATAATTGAGAAAAAATCGATAATTCTGCATTTTTAAATTAAATGTATAAAATACATTTATAAAACCAGATAAAAAAAAAATTAAACAAATATATCTTTGTTATTAAATACTAGAATTCACTTGCTAATAAATTAATTTAACAACTTCTATAAAAAAACAAACTTATATGTTCATAGGCACTAATAAATTCAACAAATAATTTACCAAACTTATATGACCTTGTACAAATTTTTTGGCATAAACATTTTTTATAATATTTAATATATATTTACTTGATTTTCTTGCATTTAGTCTTAAACCTTTCACACATATATATTATAATTATTCATCAATTGCACGAAATTAAAAAAAATATATAATTATATATTATAAACAAATAAAAAGAGTTTGACTCAAAATTTGGTCTCCATGTTAAATTATATTTTATTAAATATTTAATTACACTTTGTACTATTTTTTACAAAGATGATATTAAATATGAGTTTAATGAAATTAAATTAAAATTTCTTTGTCGGTGATAAGAAAATATTAATTTCAAAGCCATTTCTTAGGAAAAAAGTAGCTTTATTAAAATCTTACTGAATTATATTTTAGCTCGCTTTTAATACTGTTCCTGGAAAATCATTTTAAGAGGATTTTATTGTATTTTATTTAAATTACTTTTTTTAAGCTGATACAGTTAAATAGAAAAATATTTTTTATTAACATAAATATTTTAACTTCAATTTAACAACAAAAGTTGCTTTGATATATATGTAGGTTTATTGATTTTCTATCAATTTTATATAATTAGATTTTTAATTGGATGAAATTGCAATTATGAATATCTGAAATAACGAGCACAAATTATATCAAATATATATATATATATATATATATATATATATATATGTATATATATATAATTATGTTTTAATGAAACTCTAATTAAATCGGAAACTTTGTAAAGCAAAATAAATTATTTTCATATCGCCGGTTGAATAACTTTCATATTTTACTCACAATCAGTACAGATAATTTATATTAATTATAATTAAAACTAAATTTTGTAATTTTAATTAACATGATGCATTTGGCTAAAAATAATATTAATGAACCAAAATAATATCATAGGACACCTAAAAAACAAGCAAATGTCTTAAAATGCTTGGAAATATACAAATTCACTAAAAATGTTAAAAATTCTGGAAAATTTACTTTGGCCACTAAAATTTTTTTAATTAAGTATTACATTTAAACAAGACTTATTTGTTTTTTTTTTTTACAAAAATATCATTCAACTACCGTTCTTTAAATTACAATTTTATTTAATATTTTATATTGAGTTATCAATTAGATAAATTTATCGATTTTTTTATTCACTTTTAGACTTCAATGCTCAGTTCCAGCCATAGTTGATGTTAAGATTATTATTTCAATATTTTTTTAATTTTATTTTGTTAATATTCTGTTTATTATTTACATTTATATTTTTGTATTTAAGTTTAATTCTTTGTTTTTTATATACTCAACAATTTTGTATTATAAAACTTGCATCAAGTTTTGATTGACAAAAAAATAGACTTCAATTGACCAAAACTTCTCTAAATACATCACGAATTTTTAACTTCCCGTAGGGTAAGTTATAGTAATCGCAAAAAAATCGAAAATGAAAATTTTTATATATCTTTACGTTTCAGAGGTTTCTGAACATTTTGGCATACCTTAGAAAAAATGGATGTATGTGTGTGTGTGTGTGTGTGTGTGTATGTGTGTGTGTGTGTGTGTATGTATGTATGTATGTGTGTGTATGTATGTGCGGATACAAATTTTCGTCGACGATTTCGGGAACACGGATCAACCGATTTGAATAAATCAAAAAACATTCGATTCGTATTGATAAGGAGACGTGCTGATTAGTTTTTGGCGAAGGCAGGTCTAGCCGTTCCGGAGATACGGGGCAAAAAGTGCCGAAAACGGTAACTCAGGTTTTAAGAGAACGGAGCGTCCGATTTTAATAATTCAAAAAACATTTTACTTGTATTGACAAGATAAAGAATTGATCAAATTTTCATAAAGGCATGTCTAGCGGTTTCGGAGATCTAACAAAAAAAGTAAAAAAAAATGCCATTTGGCGGTCAAAAATGATCATTAGACATATGCACATCAAATTTTCAGATATTTTATAGAGATTTTAACAATAAGTTTAAATTTTGTTTATTTTTCTATGGGTTCCGTACCAATGTTTACCCGTTAGACAGCGACGCCGCGCTTACGCGCTTTATATTTTGTCTCTATGCAGTTAAAGCAGTACGATTGCTTTGAAAAACAAGTTCAGATCTTCCAAAATATGTCAAAATAAAGAAAACATTTTTTTTCAAAAAAAAAAAAATTAAAAAAATTTTTTTTTTTAAAAAAAATTTAAAAAAAAAATTTTTTTTTTTCAAAAAAAAGTAATTTTTTGTCCAATTTATAGTTTCTCAAAAATCTTATTTTTTCGAAGTAAATTTTTTTCAAAAATGTTAATCGTTTTTAAAAAAAATAATAATTTTTGGTACGGGAAGTTCCAGCAATTTGCCTTAAGGCACGATGCCCTAATTGCCTTAAGACAGAATTCCACTTACAGCTAGTTTTTTTTTTTTTTTAAATAAATTTCTGTGTCTTTTATCCCTTACCTGGAGCAGCATGACATCCTGCTGCAGCAGCACAAATAAACAGCACAATTGTCACAAACTGCATTTTGCACTCTGACTAATCAAAATCCAAAACGGAGTTCACAATTCATAATTGAATACAAAATAGAGAGAAACCACTTTGGAAATACAATAGAGATTGTTTCTAAAGCAACTATCACACTACTAACTACACTATTATCATAGTTGGTTATTAATAATGGATTAAATGGGTGAGGAAATGGGTTTGGAAACTTGTAGTAACTATTTTATGTATATAGTTATATGATTGTTAAATTTATAAACAAACTATGAATTATATGAATAATGTTTTATCAATGAAATTATGTTTGTATTGGGATGATATTGCAGTTTCAGTTTTGAAAGGATCAGATGATTATTTTGGAAATACTGTATTTAATTCGGATGAATTTTACATGAGTTGTATTCAACTTTAAGTACAAACTTTTTAATTATTTGATAGATTTGTGATGATTTGTTGTTTATCATTCCATGGAAATGCCAAAACTGATTTCCTTTTTATTTCTTTATACCTGATGACACCGTTAAGTGAAGTTTCGAAACGTATGTACTTCATGCATCGTTGCCAGATTTAATGATTTTGCAAAAGGAATTGTATGCAAAATTTCAAATTTCAAATAATTTAAAATTAACCCCAGTAGTTTTCATTTGTTTATACTTGTGAAATTTTTAGTTATATTACCTTCACCTTATTTTAAATAATAAGCAAATAATTAATTAAAATTATGCTAAGTATTATTTCTTTCTTAATTTTTTGTGAAATATTTCAATCTCTTGAAGTTTGAACGTCTTAATAATTGCAAGTCCAAACATTTTTGCGTTCCAAAATTTGCACATGTAGAGATTTATATATTCTTAAATTAGTACATCCAAAAATTTACGTTTCCCAAATATTTTCACATATTGAAATTTGTAAATTAGGAAGTATAAACTTCTAAAATTTACTTAACCCAACAATTGTAAGTTCGAAAATCTTATTATTCCAACACTTTCAATTGGTAATCATGAATTCATGTCAAAAAAATTTCAAATCATAAAATGTGTACGTTTCAATATTCTACTATCTCACAATTTGTAAGTTTAATACTCGAAGAAAGATATATTGCCTATCCCATAATGTGGTCGTCTAAAAATTGCTTATCCCAAAATGTGGTTGTTTGGAAATTAGTCAATAACTAGCTGTAAGTGGAATTCTGTCTTAAGGCAATTAAGGCATCGTGCCTTAAGGCAAATTGCTGGAACTTCTCGTACCAAAAACTATTATTTTTTTAAAAAACGATTGACATTTTTAAAAAAAATTTACTTCAAAAAAATACGATTTTTAAGAAACTATAAATTGGACAAAAAATTACTTTTTTTTGAAAAAAATTTTTTTTTAAAAAAATTTTTTTTAATTTTTTTTGTTTTTTTTTTGAAAAAATTTTTTTTTTTATTTTGACATATTGTGGAAGATCTGAGCTTTCTTTTCAAAGCAATCGTACTGCTTCAATTGCATAGGGGCAAAATATAAAGCGCGTAAGCGCCGCGTCGCTGTCTAACGCATAAGCATTGGTACGGAACCCATAGGAATGTTAACAAAATGTATACTTATTGTTAAAATCTCTATAAAATATCTGATAATTTGATGAGCATATGTCTAACGATCATTTTTGACCGCCAAATGGCTCATTTTTTTACTTTTTCCTCCATATCTCCGAAACCGCTAGAGCTACCTTCATGAAAATTTTATCGATTCTTAACCTTGTCAATACAAGTGAAATGTTTTTTGAATTATTCAAATCGGACGCTCCGTTCTCTCAAAAACTGAATTACCGTTTTCGGCACTTTTTGCCCCGTATCTTCGGAACGGCTAGACCTGCCTTCGCCAAAAACTAATCAGCACGTCTCCTTATCAATACGAATCGAATGTTTTTTGATTTATTCAAATCGGTTGATCCGTGTTCCCGAAATCGTCGACGAAAATTTGTATCCGCACATACATACACACACATACATACATACATACACACACACACACACACATACACACACACACACACACACACACATACATCCATTTTTTCTAAGGTATGCCAAAATGTTCAGAAACCTCTGAAACGTAAAGATATATAAAAATTTTCATTTTCGATTTTTTTTGCGATTACTATAACTTACCCTACGGGAAGTTAAAAAGTGGTCGTATGTAAAATTTTTTCTTTCAAAATGCAGTAGTCTGAAAAATTATATATCCCAAAATGTAGTCGTCTGGAAAATTGACTATCGCAAAATGTGGTCATTTGAAAAATTGCCTATCCCATAATGCTGTTCTCTGAAAATTGCGTATACCAAAATTTGGTTGTTTGGAAAATTGCCTAACTCAAAATGTGGTTATTTTGAAAATTGCCTATCGCAAAATGTTGTGTTTTTTAAAAATTTTCATTCCAAAATGTAGTTTTCTGGAAAATTTCCAATCTCATAATGTGGTTCTCTGAGAATTTCCTATCCCAAATTGTGGTTGTTTGGAAAATAATCTATCAAAAAAGTGGTCGTCTGGAAAATTGTCTATACTAAAATTTGATCATTTGAAAAATTGCTTATCTCATAATGTGGTTCTCTAAAAATTGCCTATCCCTAAAATGTGGTTGTTTGAAAAATTGTTTTTCTCAAAATGTAGTTATCTGTAAATTTTTCTATCCCAAAATATAGTGATCTGAAAAGTTGCCTATCTCGTAATGTTGTCACCTGAAAATTGCCTATCCCGAAATGTGGTTGCTTGGAAAATAGCCTATCGCAAAAACTGGTAAAATTGCATTTACCAAAATGTCGTCGCCTGGCGATTTGCTTACGCGAAAATGTGGTCTTCTGGTAAATTGACTTCCAAAAACGTATTGTCTGGAAAATTTTCTATTCCAAAATGTGGTCGTCTGGAAAATTGCTTATCCCAAAATGTGGTCGTCTAAAAAATTGCCATATTCCAAAATATGGCTATTAAAAATAAATTGTTTGGTTCAAAATGTGGTCTTTTGGAAAATTTCTTATCCCAAAATGTCGTCGTCTAGAAAAGTATCGCAAAATGTAGTTATGCAAAAAATTCACTATACCAAAATGTAGCCGTCTAGCAATTTGCTTATTCCAAAAGGTGGTTCAAAAAAATTTTTATCTCGAGATGTGGTCTTCTAAAAAAATTTCTTTCACAAAATGTCGTGTTCTGGAAAATAACCTATCCCAAAATCTGGTCGTCTCAAAAATTGCTTATTTTAAAAATTGTCCCCTGCAAATTTTCTTATACCAAAATGATTGCGCCCAGAATTTTTCCTATCCCAGAATGTGATCGTCTAGAAAATTGACTATTCTAAAATCTAGTTGTCTGAAATATTCCAAAATGTGGGAGCCTGAAAAACTAGCTTATCCCAGAATGTCGTCTTTTGGAAATTTGCTTATCCCACAAGTATTGTCTGCCTAAATATAATTGTCTGGAAAATTATTCATCCGAGAATGTTATTGTTTGGAAAAATTGTCTATCTCAAAATGTGGTCGTCTGAAAAATTCCAGATACAAAAATGTGGTCATCTGGAATTTTTTTAAAGCAAAATTTGTTCGCACAGAATTTTCCCTATCCAAAAAATATTACATACCGGTACATTTTACCAATTCTACAATTTGCATCTCTAAAAAATTGTGCATTCGCAAGTTGTTTGAACGTGCCACAATTTTAACGTTTTAGAAATTTGTACCAGATGATTGTCTATTACGAAAACAGTACATTTTGGAAATTTACATGTTCTAAAATTCATGCGCCTGGAAATTTACCCATTTTAAAACTTGCAAGTCCCAAAATTGCGCATTCCAAAATTTGTATATCCGAAAAATTGTGGATAACAAAATTTTTATGTTCAGAAAATTGTACATTCCAAAAATTCTACATATTGTAATTTGCACATTCTCAAAATTTATAAGTCTGCTTATTCTGAAATTTGTATGTCCAGAAAATTGATCGTTCCCAAAGTACGTGAAGAACATTTTATAATCTGTATATCCGGAAAATTGCGCATATCAAAATTTGTTTCTGGAAACTGGATATATATATACATATATATATATATATATATATATATATATATATATTTATTTATTTCTACATAAATTATTTCATTTATTTATAAAGTGAAAATATGGCTTTAACTTCATCCATACAAAACAATCACTGTCAACTATCGTGCAAATCAAACGTGAAATGTATGATGGTGCATTTTAACAGCATCAATTCAAGTGTTTTTATTATTGTAAAGTGCTATTATTGTCTTTATTTCAAATCAATGGAGTACTTTATTATTAGAAAACATTTCAATTTTATAAAAGACACATAATTCTAAAATATCAAAATCATAATTAATGTAAATGAAATACATTGGTCAAAGAAAATCATAATAAATGGAGACTTGTAATAATAAATAAAACAATTTTGTACTTGTTTTGTATAATGAATTTGTATAATGAATATTAAAGTCATTTATTTTATACACAAATATAAATATAAATATAAAAATTAATGTAAATATAAATATAAAAATTAATGTAAATATAAATATAAATATAAATGCAAAATATAAATATAAATTAAAATATAAATATAAATATAAATGTAAATACATATTAGTAAAATTGTAATGAAAATATAAATATAAAATACATATTAATAAAATTGTAAGGAAAATATAAATATAAAATACATATTAATAAAATTGTAAGGAAAATATAAATATAAAATACATATTAATAAAATTGTAAGGAAAATATAAATATAAAATACATATTAATAAAATTGTAAGGAAAATATAAATATAAAATACATATTAATAAAATTGTAAGGAAAATATAAATATAAAATACATGTTAATAAAATTGTAAGGAAAATATAAATATAAAATACATATTAAAAAATTGTAAGGAAAATATAAATACATACTAATAAATAGTAGGTGTTGATAATACATATGTATCTGATTTTGGTCTACAAACATAATTTTTGATGGATATAATTTAATTCTAATAAAATAAATAAATTAGCTATTCAAATCTATTCATATACATA